TCTTTACCTTTGTTGCTTGTAACATATTCATCAGCACATTGAAATGCGTTTTGCAATTGAATTGTCCCAACAACATCATTGGTTTGAACAACCTTCAATGAGATTGAGACCAAATCTTCCAATGTGGTTTCTTACAATAATTAATATAACATACTTTTATTAATATGTAGCAATAAACAAACTTCATTGGAATAAGTTGTATTTAAACAACCAATCCAATAACATCTACAAAAATATAAGATAATTTATCATATTGAAATGTATAATGTATAATATAATTTATTACATATTTTAACTTAAAAAAAAATCGAAATAAGAAATAAACAAAAAAATTATAACATACCAACCAACACGGGTTCATCAACATTATGGACATCTTCAACTTGAACATCCTAATTATGTGTACTTTGTGGCTTATGAGTTCTTTTGATATCCTTGATTAATTCAAAATCTAGAGTCATCTTGAATGGAAATGGAAAAGCTAATAATTTTTATTTTTTTTTTGAATGGTTTGTGGTCGATATTTTTTATTTTCAATGTTGGTGATATTTATATAGTCATTGTATATGTGCCATATGCCTATAAATCTAATTTAAACAATGATTTACTTAATGATTTTAAATTGATTTGGAATCTGATGGCCCAAAAAAATTGATTAGGTTTCACTTATAACAAATGATGCTTATCCAGTCGGCCATATCAACGTGATTTTTGCCAAAATTAATGGAGTGTTTTTTTTTTTTCGAACTATGTTAAATGTTTTGGATATTTTTGCAATTTTTTTTTTTTTTTTTTATTTTGGTTACTATGAATTTTCAAATCTCATAATTTGCGTGTCATATTTATGCAATTATAATTTGCGAGTGATCATAACAGATTTACGGCGAAATATTTTCTGTAAATAACTATGAAATTAGTTACCATATTTCCGGTGAGATATTTTTGGATCGGATAAAAGATTTGTAACCAAACGACAATCACATTTCCATAAAATTCGAACAAAATTTCGGCAAACATATTTGCATAATAATTATAAATTATATAAAAATCATTTTGACATGTGGGGCCATTTATATTACTTATAGTAGTAAGTCAACAATTTATTTTTTAAGTCAAAGTTACTATTTTTGTATTTTTCCAACAACCTCTTTATATTACTATAGATTACAAGTAATTATTTTCCTAAAAAGTATTAAAAGTCAATTTAATAATTATTTGTAAACACATCATTAATATAATTACACTTTTTGATTATATGTATACAAACTAACTAATTAAAAAATTATACAATTTTTTCAACTTTTATAAAACTATTAATTATATATATATATACAACTTATACATATATATTAATGAAATTATAATATATGTATTATAAATAATTTTAATTATATAAAATATATATTAAAACAATTTTAATAATATATATGAAATTATATAAAATATATATTACTATATTAAATCCATTTTATATATTTTTAATATTTAAACATATTTAAAAAAAACATGGTCGGCCGCCGACCGGACACAGAACGGCCGGCCTCCATAAACGGCAGTCGTTGGCCGGAATTGTGGCGCGACCACGATAACGGGGCCAGCACACTCGAGCCTGGCCGCGATCGGTTGTCGGCCCCAACCTAATCGGCCGACTTCACCATAAACGGCCGGCATAGCCCGCTACATAGAAAAAAAATTAAAAAAATATTTAAAATGTAAAAAAAATAAAAAAAATAAAAAAACTTACCCTTAGAATGAAATATCACTTACCTGTGCGTGAAGGTTGTCTGAATATTTTTTTCGGAAGAGAGAAGGTAGTAAGAGGGAGAAATTTTTTTTTCAAAAAAAAAACTGAATTAAGGGGATCGTGAGTAGTAATAAGGCGGTATTTAGTAATTCACATTTTTAAATAACAAAATTTATCCAACTATTGTAATTGCTCACTACGTTTCGAAAAAAAAAAAAAGAAGAAGAAAAAGAAAAAAAAAAAAAAACTAAACTATTGGAATGGCTGCCAGCGGCATTATTTCCCGCCCGATAAATTGGTTCTCCTTTACAACCGTACAAGGTCACTGCCAAAGTTTCCTCGCTACTCAATTGAAACACACGGAGTCCATCCCAGCGACTTCCCGGATCATATTTCAACATGGTAACTCTCTACGATCTAAAACCCTAATTACGGGAGCTTTTAACCATTATGAAGCAGAAAATAATCTGGTTACCCCTGTTATTTGTTCGATTCATCAGCATTCAAGGTTTAAGAATGATCGGTTTTATCATGCGCAGATGTCTGTTGTTATTCATTCAGATTTTGAAATGTGTAAATGAAGCTTGCTGCGTTAATTATGTGTTACAGTATTCTTGTGTTGGACTTTGTACTGTGAATGCTGCCTTTGGATATGAAATGCAATAGAGAAATTGGTACCGATTTGGAATTGTTTTAGAAATTTTGAAATATCTGTGATGTCAATATTATTTGATGTGATGCTAATAGTTGGAGTTAGATGTCAGTTTTATCTTGTTCCAAAATGTTCCTGAAGCTGAAAGCTGGCATAGAATCGGCATCTAATTTCACTGAAATACAGATTTCCTGCAATCCTAAACTCGGTTGTAATGTGCTATCCAAACACTTATTTAGTCTTCCAGGTCGTTGCGTAACATAAAGAAGTTATAGCTACTTACTCTGCATAAATGACAAAGGACAAGCGGACTTATTGAGCATGCACCTAAATCACAAATGAAAAACCCTACACATCCTCAAATAATTTGACATTTATTTTGCTGTTCCTTTTCTTGTCTTCACGTTTATTGTTCATTTATACTTCTTATTCTGCTTTTCTTAAGTTTAATTACTCGGAAGGACACATATATCATGTGTAGAATGAATTGTCACTTTATAGAATCTAACTTGATATCATTTTTTCTTTCTCCAGTCTAAAAAAAGAGGGCTCTCTTTGGATGAGAAACGTGAGAAGATGCTTCAGATTTTCTATGAATCCCAGGATTTCTTCCTTGTTAGTATCATGACTTGATAATTACTAATAATGCCAGTTGATGTCTAATTGGGATCATTCATGTCAGCCTTGATGCTTGTTTTAGTTCTAATCAGTAAAAACTCCCTAATCATTGCCGGGTTTTTATCTATTCAATAAAAGATTGTTAGATTTTCTTTCCAGTTCCATATGTTATTAACAAGCTGTCTTGGAATTTCTGTTTATGTTTTCTGATGCCTGCAAGATGCGGATGCAAGTTTCTTATTAGGCGACCCTATGAAATGTGTCTGAGGTCGGTGTCCATTAAATATTGTGTACATTGCACAGGGATGGTTCTTCTTTAACCATGATCTGCAAGTGTGGATCATAAGTGCTTGTATATAGGGACTTTTGATTTTATTTGTTCCTGTCATATGTTGCTGCACCATAAAATCTCTTGTAGCTCAGTTCTTGCACCACTATTATGTAATTTGGTTATCTCCTACTTCAATGTATGGCTATAGGTGCTGACATGTATAGTAAGTTTTTTTCTCTTCAATGACACCCTTGAATATGTTATTTCAATATTAGGTTAAGAATTGATCAAAGTCAATAGTTGCAGTAATTAGTTATTAATTAAAGACACATTGTATGTTAATGTTCTTTGGAATTAAATAAAACCTATAATAGTACTAACACTGCATTACATGGTGTTGCAACTCATTAGTGCCTCAGTTTGATGCTATCAGATATATTGGTCTCATACACTTCAACTATTTACGCTTGAATAGTTGAATGTCTTCTGAACATATATTCTGTGGAAGCTAGTATTTCTTCACCTAGCATCGTTACAAGATGATTGATTTCTCCTGAGTTTTGTTTTAGCTTAAGGAGCTTGAGAAGTTGGGTCCTAAAAAGGGTGTAATTACCCAATCAGTGAAAGATGTGCTCCAGTCTCTGGTGGATGATGACCTTGTTTTCAAGGACAAGATAGGAAGTTCAGTAAGTAAACTTCAATAGAGCATTTTATTCTCTTTCTTCTGACATATAATGGCTGTTCATAATGTGCCTTCATTTTGTGTACGTTTATACTATAGTCCCATTCTTTGATTTTCATTGTGCTTAAAAATTCAGGTATATTTTTGGAGTCTTCCTAGCTGTGCTGGTAACCAGGTGAGTGGCGATTAATTCTTCTCTTTGAATTGACGTGAAAGTAGAATTGACATGAAATTTACTTTCGTGATTACTGTACCTGTTCATAAGCTGTTCCACTTCTACAGCTAAGGAACATACAAAGAAAGCTCACCAACGATCTCCAAAGTACTGAAAAGCGATATATGGAACTAATTAATCAGTGCAATGCTTTAAAGAAGGGACGAGAGGAATCTGTGAGTAAAAATTCCCGTAACTCGTATATATATATTTACAATTTAGTGTTTAGTATTACTCAGAAGTCTCATTTGGCTTCATATATTAGGATGAACGAGAGGAAGCCCTTGATGAGCTTAAAGCTATTGAACAGAAGTATAATCAGCTCAAGGTTCAGTCATATTTCAATCGCCCTTGTGATTTTCTCACTTGTTTTTCTGGAATTAGATTCTGATGCTATGGATGTTGTTACCCCCCTCATTTTCTTTCGTCCGCAGAATGAAATTGCGCAATACTCAGACAATGATCCGGCAACGTTTGAGGCTACGAGTTAAGCATTGATATCCATTCTCGTTTTAAAATCTCAACCTTTTCTTAAAATCGAGTTACGTGCTTCTCACATTATTGAATTTCGACTTTGCTTCTCAGAGAAGGCTATTGAAGTGGCTCAGACAGCAGCTAATAGATGGACAGGTTCCCATTTAGTAAATTCCCATTTATGCCTTTTGGATTCCATATAATTAATGCTTGCCACCGTCACACCATTGTTTGCTTACATCTTCACAGACAACATATTTACACTGCGACAATGGTGCTCAAATAACTTTCCTCAGGCAAGAGAGCAACTCGATCACCTGTACGAAGAGGTATGTTGTTTAAATTTGTATGCACCTAGAATGGGACATGAATTCTTTTGATGCCTGTGTAGCATTTTCTCTTTCCAGCACCTTAAGAAGTTTCTCCTCATATCTTGAACAGGTAGGCATAACTGATGACTTTGACTATGTGGAGTTGCCTGCAGTTGCTGCACCCTGTTCTGCTGGAGATCAGGGCAGCCTTTAGTTCATGTATCATGCATGAAAATGCTATAATTGGAATATTTACTGGGTTTATTTGCAAAGTGATAGTATGAGTAGCATTTGTTACCTTTATGTGGAGTTGCATTTACTCTCATCTGCATGGATAAGTGAGTTCATTGTCTGTAGACGAACTGTACGTTTTACATCAGTATATGACTTATCAATTAGCTTCAGCTTTTGTTTGGTCTGTGGGGCTTGTTCTGAATGGAATATCATAGTCATGCTGTGGATGTTTTGAGTGCGTTTCGCAGTTCGTTATTTGGGTTCCTAATGTGGCTTGTTCCGGCACTTTACTGCTAAAGTCTCTGATGTTAGTCCACCGGTACAGATTAGTGTGGGCCAATCTTCTTCCTCTGGTATGCGTTGAATATTGTTTAATTTTACTATTATACTTGTCAAACAAACTGAGGTCTGGCCTTACAAACAAAATATTATCTCTTACTATCTGAAACACACATTCTACGATGCGAGTTGATACATCATACATAAATAACTGTTGTAAAGAGTCACGGGCACAACAATAGGATCTCAATTTCGCAATGCACACCATGACAAGCGAATTGTTCCGCTGGTTGCGATTGGATTTGACATGTTTAATTCAAATATCCTGTAATTTACATGTATTAAGCAAACATGAAATTGAGGTGATCGAGTTATGGTTTTAACTAAAAATTTATTAACGATTGAACAAGGCTAGATAGACATAATTATCTACATGACATACACTGATGTCCATACAATTGTACGGAGTGGGTCTCTTTAAAAATATGTATTTGCACAGATGCAAATAAAATATTGTGAGTTATTTGTATGCATATAATGATTAATTATTTTTCGTTCACCTTTTTGCTGGCCAAATTTACATTTAAAGGAGTTGGAATATTTATTTTTTTAAATTGTGTTTATCTAATTGGATTAGGAGTGGGCGCGGTTCGGGACGGTCCGGGATTTGACCTATCCCGGTACCTGTCCCGATTTTTTGAACCAGTCCGGGACGAGACACCGTCCCAAACGGGTCGGTATGAATCGGGACCAGGATAAAACGGGAAAGATTATTTACACCAACTGCATTACTGTTGCCATGCGAGCTAGAGTAAGTCATTCTTCTTGTGCTGAACACACATTTGAGGATTGGGGTGTGAATTTGTGTTTGAAAAAGATTATTTACAGTTATCAGTTGGATGTATGGAGTTTCTACAAATGTTTAACAAAAAGAGATCAACTCGTCTTGACTGATAAAATGTGACAAAAGCTATAAAATCAAACAGAAACGGAATGGTATTCTTTCTTTTTTTTACGTCTATTTCAGTTCCTGTTTTGGCTTTTGAGGACGGGTAAAGCACATATGCTGCCTTTTTAAAACAACCATTCTTTTGAATTTAGACAACTTTGAGATCATTTGTGCTATAAACATACATAAAAAC